CCGCGGCTCTTGTGCTGCCCTGCCCAGATGGGATGGCAGCAGGGGCTGCAGAGCTCTCAGCACCTCAGCCCGAGGGGAGCAGGGCAGCCAGGGAGCCTCCTTTGGCCTTGGCCAAGCACCTTCCCCCATGGCTGGGGCTGCGTCCTGTGGCAGCTGCAGCTGCTGCTGTGCCCTTGGCAGGGGCTGAGGCCCTGGGGCCAGTGCCCAGAGCAGCCTGGCCTGAGCAGAGCTGTGGGGCCAGAGCCGGCTGGGCTGGGCTGGGCTGGGGAGAGGCCCTTGGTGCTGCCCAGAGCTCAGGGCAGCTGGCAGAGCTTGCAGGGAGCTGGGCTGGGCTCAGAGAACCCGGCCCAGAAACCATCAGTGTCCATCTCAGCCTGGCTGAGCGTGCAGGGCCAGGACTCAGGCCAGGCCTTGTGGGGCAGGGCCAGCGCCTGTGCAAGGCATTGCAAACAGGCAAGTGGCCCAGAGAGGAGGCTGCTCTGTGCCCTTGGGGGCATGGACAGAGCAGGGAGGGGGCCCAGGACATTTGTCAGCACCAGCCTCTGTGCCCAGCCCTTGGCAGCCCTGGCTGCTGAGCCCAGCTTTGGCCTGGGCTGAATTTGGCTGTGGCCCAGCTCCATCCTCCTGCGGGGCTCAGGGCCTGTTCCCAGCCATGGCCAGCCCTGGCCGGCCTCTCTGCTGGCCCAGAGGCCAGCACAGCCCGGGGCAGGGCTGTCTGTGCAGCCCCACAGGTGCCACGGGCTCTGCAGGAGCTGGCAGAGGCTGCCCAGCAGGGAGGCCATGGGCCACAGAGCCCCAAGGCTGCTGTGGGCACCACGGCACAGGGGCTGCTCCCAGCCGCAATGCTCCTGGCCTGGGCTGGGCCTGCACAGGGGCTGGGCCACCATGGCTGGGCCAGCACAGGGCCACAAAGGGGCCACGCAGCCGCTGCCGGGGCTGACAGCAAGGCCAGGCACACACAAGCAATTGCTGAGCATGGCCTGCGCTGGCCAGGCCTGACTGTGCCAAAGGCAGAGCTCAGCTGCCCTTGGGGGCTGCAGCCACAGTCCAGAGCCCAAAGAGCCTCCATGGCTGTGCTGGAGACCAAGGCTGCAAGAGGGAAATGCAGGGCTGCTGTGGGATGGGGAGGGCATTGAATTCCAGCACACACCTCAGCTCTCTGATGATCCTGGCACATGCTAGGCCCTGTTTCAGACTGGAGCAGAGCAGATGTTGATGGGACAGGAACCCTGCAGGGCTGGCAGGGACCTGCAGCTTGCAGGGTGCTCTGCTCTCCCTCAGGTGCTCTTGGACAGATCCAATCCCAGCTGGGCACCTCAGGGCACAAGTGGCACTGCCTGTTGAAGGGCACACAACTGCTGTCTGCCTCGAAATTGGCACAGGTGTTAATACCTGTTGGTTTCATAATACACAAGCAAATTATTTATTATCTGGGTCATTATAGTACTTTTAACAAATGGCAATATTTTTCCGCCAATGTCCTGGTTTGAAAACGACGCGAGTTTTTTGGGATGCTGTGGTCAAACCAATAGGTGCTCAGATTTGAATATTGGCACCTGGTGTGGCCACTGAGGACATGGATACACCTCTGAGAACACAGGGGGTTAAAAGCAGAGAACTCCCAGGGGGAAGCTCTCTTGGGTTCTGTCTGTGAAAGAGGTCAGAGCTGCCCTGCCCTGCTGCGGGCTGGCAGGGGAGGGGAAGCCATGCGGCCGGGTGAGGTAGGCCGGGCCTTGGACAGAGAGGGGAGGTGAAGGCCCCTGCAGGATGGAAGGGTGGAGGAGCACTGAGAAGGAGCAGGCAGCCCCCCCCACCCCCCATGGGGGAGAAAGAGAGAGAGGGAGGGAGGGAGGGAGAGAGAGAGAGAGGGAGAGAGGGAGGGAGGGAGGGAGAGAGACAGAGAGACAGAGAGACAGAGTGAGAGAGAGAGCCTGTGCCTGTGCCACCTTAAAATTTGATATCTTGTGCTGCCAGCATGGCTAGGTGAGAAAGAGAAAGGGGGGGAAGGGTGGGGGGATGCAGCGAAAAGGTGCCCAACAGGGCAGCCCTGGGAGTTCTGGACAGGCAGAGCCTGAGATTTTTAACCCTTTTCTTGGATGATGGAAACCTTACAAATGCTCATCCTTGAATGAGAAGAGAGATAGAGATGAGATAAGAGGAAATGGGCCAGGAGAGACGTTTAGAAGACTCTTGGCTGAGAGGAGGTGATGGAGTGGCCTTTGGCTGGACTTTTCTTGTATAGCCATGAACAGAACCATTTTTTTCCTGTGACACAGAGACTGCATTTAGGGTGAGGCAATGGCTTGGAGCCAAGAGAGCATAGTGATGTTATGTGGAGGAGTGTGTGAACAGAGACAACAGGTGAGGAGGGGCAGTGGTGCCCTCCGTCTTCATGGAAGAAGAAGATCTCTGTTCTTGAGACCCCTTGGCCCCAGGGGGTGAATCTGGGGGGGGACAGGTGTCCCAAAAGTGAGAGTCTGTGCTTTTTATGGAACTGGGCAAAGCATCCTTAAAAGGGGAACCCTAGAAGCAGCTCTGGTCCATGTGCAGTGGTGAGAGCACTGGGCATGGAAGGAAGAGGTCACGATGGCAAATGCTCTCCAGGCAGTGCCACGTGTGATATGGAAACACACAAGGTCTCAACTGTGTTTCCAGGGGAAGCCTATGGTACAAGAGGGACTCCTCTCTTCTTGATGAACGGAGAACTGATTATCTAAAGGGTGGTGATGGACTGAGAGTTGGTGATCTGAGGGGTGGTAACTGAATTGAAAGTCCAAGGTTTTGTCTGACTGTGATGTATTAGGAATTTGGTGGGGGGAGGAGGAATGTTTGGAAGGTTTTCATCCTGAGTTCTGTGTGTTTCTTTTACATATTGTAAGTTAATAAAGTTGTTTTTTCCCTTTTATTCCTCAGCTGGAGCCTGCTTTGCTCTATTCCTGGTCACATCTCACAGCAGACACCAGGGAGAATGTATTTTCATGGGGGCACTGGCATTGCGCCAGCGTCAAACCGTGCCACCTTTGTAGCAGATGATTGGCCCGTCTATAACTCAGAGCTCCTCCGCACCACAGGTAAGAGACCCAACCTGGCAGATACTTGGGACAGGTGGACAAAACTGCTGCCCAATGCTCTAGAGCAACCCCAAGAACTGGACCTGTTGGGGTCCTCCAAGGCCACATACTGTGTCAAATTTTACTTTAGATGCCTGAAAAACGATTGGCCAGAAATGGACTGGACCAAAAACACATACCAAAAAGACATATCAGCAATTAAGAAAGCCTATAACTATCCCTATGGATAACTATCAGCTATATTGAAAAGCAGTAAATGCAACGCCTTATTACCTATCAAATTTTAACATGGTCTGATTTCTTTAACAAGAAGGCTAACAAATGTGCCATATAAAATGATGCCAGATACAGTCACAAAAAGCTGTTGGGTTGTTCAGCAATATGCTAAATTGCACGTTATTATATTTATTTTCCAGTAACCCGGCACTTTAAAAAGCCTTACTGCATTTCTGTTTCCATGGAATTTGCAGTTACCATGGGTTTTTCTCATAACTGATTTACTTATAATTCTAACATGCTTGTTACAACTTGAATCCCTCCAGTGCACCATCATGCTGTTATTTCACTTTTGGCTTATTCACCTTTAAGTAGTCTTTTTGTGTTAATAACTTTGGACAAAATTACATCATTGCATTATCTATAACTTTTAAGGATGTTCATTTTAATGCTGTTAAATTGAAGCCCAATATTGTAAAGCTCAGTTACCTTCTGTTAAATTAAATAAGGCAAAGGTTTTTTTGTTAAATTTTGGTAGATTTAATTTCTGATAAGTTTCAATATTACTAAGTTTGCACAATGATCTATTCCAGTTTTTATGGGTCCAGTTATGTTTGGTATTACTAGTAATTAACTTTGAGTTCTCTTGAGTGCACTTTTTGTTCTACTAAGGTGATAATGACATTAATTTGAAATCCTTTTAGGGCTGAGTTTATGTTCCTCTTGTGAAGCTCAAGTGCAGTTCAAATAAATTTCTGTCAGGTTTGAGTGTTATTTAATCTGAGGTATCATAAATTTTACTAGTGAGCTGTTCAGTGTTTTCTTTGGATGCATTTATTCTGTCATAAATATATCAATCTTTGTATTACTGTTTTTATAGCCAGCTTTTCATTTGCTTTACCATCTTTTGGTGTAATTATCTACAAGAGACGTGTCATTTCAGGATCCTCCTTTTGTTCTCTAGCTGCTTATGTATCTCTCAGACCAGACTACCCCTCTAGCTGGGCTCTGCACTGTGGCTCTGTGGTTTGACCCAGTGCTGTCTCATCATTTTTTAAATATTTTTCAGAGTTCCAAGAAATGATATCTCAGCTTTGTGGGAAGCCTCCTCTAAACTGATGGTATTGTGACATCTACTCTAAGTAATCAGATGCAGCCCCAATTATTATTACAGAACCACTCCAAGAGTTTGCTGGGTTTAAAGCATCTCTATGCTGAGGGAATTTTGGAGGAGACAGCTATTGCATGGTTCATTAGTCTGTCACCCCTAGACCTTTACTCCTAAGTGCTAATCTCAAGAGCCTTGTTTTAAATGATGTTTAGGGAATTCTCTCCCACTTAGAGCTTGGGTGGTGGCCAGGCCTTAGCTCTACCTGGACGGGAATTTGCCAACAGACCCAGATGTTTTCTGCATCAAAGCTAGATTTGAGTGGCTTTGACTTGGCAATTTGACCCTCTAGACATGACAGTTGAACTCTTTTTAAAGGGAGCTTGGGAATTATTATCTGGAAATAATTCTCCAAGTCCCCACTGAATCGAGGTTTGTCAGCTGTTTGCAGACTCTGGGATGATGGTACATTATTGCAGAGATTGCTATTTACCTAATTCCACCTATGTTGTTAGCTTTGTCTGCTATTTGAAATATTCCTGATTGTTGTATCCAAATTATTCCTAATTGCTCTAAGTTTCTTGTCCACTGCATGTATTATTTTGCTATGATGTTTCTTCATACTCATAACAAAAGGCATGCATCTCATTCTTAAGAAACAATAAAGAAAAGGAATGTATGCCTTAAGAACGTTCAAATAATGCAATATGTACATGAGAAATTTGGACGACTACTCATTTTGAATAATGCAATATTTACATGAGGAATTTGGAAAAAAGATCATCACATCTAAATCCCAATTGAGTGTACCACAGTGAAGCCTGATTGATTCATTAACTTCAGGAGAAGATGTGCCTGTGTTTCATCATCCGCAGTTCAAAGCAGTCACCTGTTCATTCCATCAGATACTGATCAGCTCTGAAAAAATGATGCCCAGTGCAAAGAGAAATAACCTCATCACCTTGCAGCTTTTGCTTCAAAGGTTTCCTTGCAGCCTTTGTGGCCAGAGCAGGAACAGGAGGAGGACTGCCCAGACATGGCTGTGTCTGGAAACTGACAGAGGCATTTTGCCAACAAAAGCCTCCTGGCATCCTCATGGTACAGTGCTCCTACGAACCTTCTTCAGTTATTCCCTGTTCCAGCACCCAGGAGGACATTCAGTGATGTCAAAGATCAACATTTCCAGCTCACAGACTTTCTCATACTTCTCAACTCATTGGAAACAATGGTCATTTCTTTCCATTTCCCTAAGAGACATTGGACATTATTCTTTTGTTTTCTCATGCTGCAAAACCCTGTGTCAATGACTTGATAGAATTTGGTAAGTTTTGTTGATTGTAATTGGTCTTTTATCTATCTTAGCCCCGTATCTAACAGATAACCAGTGATAACCTTGATGAGATAATACCCTCACAAGAGTGAGCTCTTTCAACATCAGAACATAGGAGCCTTTTTTAAATGAACAAAAAGGGGGAGATGTCATAGACAGGTAGAATAATGATAAAAGAAAGGCCCTATGAAATCAGGCCTTGTTCTGCCATGTTAATAGCTGGCCTGTCATCTCTTCTGAGTACAGCTAAGCAGGTACAAGTTCCCATGTGAAGCCATTGTGAGAATGAGACTTTGTGACCAATCTATTCTGAGGGTGAAAAACAAATACACCTGCAACAACAAGGGATTTGTCCCATGAGAATCAGTGAAGAGAACAGGTAAACAATACAATAGAGAGATTTGATGCACAAGTAAAATCTATTTTATTAACCAATAATAGAATAACTGGCAAGAAATCTATGAACTAACTAAAGTTGCACACAAGGTCCTTCAAACTGTAAAATGAGTTGTATGAATAAAGAATAAAGAGTTCTCCAGCTCAGCTGGGTCCTCTGGGATTTCAGTTCCCCCCTTCTTTGAGGCTTTTTGTTCCCTCTTCTTTGGGGCTTTGGGTTCCTTCTTCTCTGAGATTTTGGCTTCCTTCTTCTGTAAGATTTTGCTTTCCTTCCTCTCTGGGGCTTTGGTGTCCTTCTTCTCTGATGCTTTGCTTTTCTTCCTTTCTGATGCTTTGCTTGCCTTCTTCTCTGGGGCCTTGGTTTCCTTCTTCTCTGGGATTTTGGTTTCCTTCTTCTCTCATGCTTTGCTTTCCTTCTTCTCTGGAATTTTGGTTTCCTTCTTCTCTGGGGCCTTGGTTTCTTTCTTCTCTGGGGCCTTGGTTTCTTTCTTCTCTGGGGCCTTGGTTTCTTTCTTCTCTGGGATTTTGGTTTCCTTTTTCTCTGGGATTTTGGTTTCCTTCTTCTCTGGGGTCTTGGCTTTCCCCTTCTCTAGTTTTGGAGGTTGCTTCCCCACAGAGACACCCTTCTTTTCCTGCTTCTGCCTCTCTTCATCCTTCTGCCTCTCTTCCGCCTCTAAGGCTTTTGCCTCCTCCTGAAGCTTTTTACCTGACTGCTTCAGCTCCCTTCTGCAGACAAAATAAAACAAAACAGAAAACATGGCTGAGAGTCACCACCAGAAACTTGGGCTCCCTAGTCCTGGATGGCCCTGCACTTCATTCCTTGACCCTGAAGCCATTTCCATGAATTCTTCTCAACCCACAGAGGTTGAGAAAATCCCAAGTGAGGCCATTGGTGAAAGGGGACCTCCAGGACCAGCCAAACCTAAGTTTTTCCATCATAAGCTCCTGACTGTGCAAGTTCCCTCTTAAGGCACAGCCAGACCCCTCCAGCCCCTGCCAAAGGCTGATCCACCAGCTCTCTGTGCTGGTGCCTGAAAACGCCCTTTGTCTCTTGGCTTCCTAGTTTAGAGCAGAGCTGACATCTGCTTATCTCTCCTACAATTCTTACTCAGCTCATTCAGCCCCCTTCCTCCTGGGCATAGCTGAAGCATGATTTTAGAGAGTTCAGATTTCAGCTGAGGCTTAGAAGCAATTCCCATTGATCAGGATGTAAGTTAGATAGGCAGACCATAGGTTAATGATTATGAGATGCTTAAGCTGGAGCTGATTGTTCTATTGTTTACCATTAGGAGCTTCTTTCTAGAAGGAATGGAGGAAGTGAACTGTTATAAGAACATCTTGAAACCAGGAGAACAATGGTTAGCACCTGGGCTTGATGTCAATCAGTCACTAAGCAGGGGGCCTTGGATCGTGCCAGAGGGTCACAGAGACCTGATGAAGACATTCCTGACTTCATCCCTTAAGACCACGGACCCAATTCGAGACCCAGTTCAAGGGAAGAATTGCACAGGTGTGAAGGACCAATGACCTCATTTGAATACAGAGCGGGGATGGGAGGTGCTGGGGTTGTGCAGATGTATAGTATGTAAGATCTTGGGCAATAAAGAGAGGACAAAGAACCTTGGACAGCGCGGTCACGCCTTTTAGGGACGGCTCTGGTGCCTCCCACCGGTGTTAATAAACACACCACTGCCTAACTTTAATTAGTTAGAGAGTCTCTGTCCGTGACCTTTGGTTTTAACGACTCCTAGCCTGCTCCTTCATGAGAACAATCCTATCAGTCAGAAAGCAAAGGCTGCAGGAACTCCTCTCCTGCAAGACAGGCTCTTGTCAGCCAGATTTCCTGCTGGAACCCAGCTGTGACCAAGCAAACCAGTGCTGGCTGCCATGGAAACCATTGGAAGCAGCCTCGTCCCTCTCCTCCCCATGCAACCAACTTCAGCCTGGCCTGAAGAAGTCCTGATACACAGGCTGGCTTGAAGCAGCCTCCACTCCCAGCTCCACCCTTGGCCTGTGTGTCCTGAGCTGGGCTGCCTTGCTGGAGCTGAGCTTCTCCTGTGCTTGCCCACTGCTGCAGCTGCAGGGGAGCCTAAAGGACATGAGCTTTTCTGGCTGCTGTCCCACCATAAGGAGAACCCTGGCAGATCAGCATTGCAAGGACTTCATCTGGGGCAGGAGCAGGACCCAAAGCAAGGTTTGCTCTGTGCCCCACGCCTGCCCATACCACAATGCCACTGTTTTGGTGAAGAAGGGAGGTGATGAAGAAGATGCCACTCCACACCATGCACTTCAAGACACCTCTAGAGGCAGTGCCAAGGCAAGTCCAGAGCCCAGCTCCCTGCAGGCAGCAGCTAAGCCAGGAGGGCTCAGCACTCAAATAGAGAAGAAGATGTTCTGTCTCAACAGGAGAAGGTAGCCAGGGAGCTCAGAGTGGCCATCCCTATGTTGCTGCTGGCCTTTGCTATGCAGCACCTCTGAGCTCAGAGTCCATGGAGCAGGGAAGCCCTGCAGGGACAATAACCCATGGCAGAGCAGGAACCCATGGAAGGCTGACTCACCTCTCCCTGAGAGGGGCCTGAGAGCCACAGTTGATCTCCCGGGGGCTCAGGGAGGAGCTGACACGTGAGACCTCCCCGGGCACCAGCCCCTCGTAGCTGGGGCCTCCCTCCACGTGGCACAGCTCCGGGACATTGCAGGTGCTTCTGAGGTGGCCAGAGAAGGTGGAGGAGACCTGCTGGCTCTCTCCTGGCTGCAGCACACCTGACACTGGCAGGATACTGAAAGCCTGGGTGGAAGACAGGAGAGATTGAGGAGCTGAGCATGGAAATGGATGCAGAAGAGCATCTTGGAGCAAAGTGCAGCTGTAGCCAGAGGGGCCTATTCCCCAAACCCTGCCAGAATCACCCTCACCGCATCCTGCATCCATGCCACTGACCAGTGCAGGGACCATGGGGAAAATCTTCTCCCATCCTCACAGGTCAATGCATTAATTAGTACATTACATAAAAGTGACTTGGGATGTCTCCTGGCAGTAGAAATTCTCTCTGATGCACAACTTGCCTTTAAAAAGTTTCAAAACTTCCTGCTTTTAGAAAAGGAGGAGACTCAGAGTGAGAGCTCTTGGAGCTGAGGGAAGGAGCCCAGCCCAGCTCATCTGACTCCTGAGGCTCTTCCCCTCTCTCTCTGATTTAAATGCTGCTTTCTCAAGGTGCTACAGCAAAAGCTCCTGCAAAAACTTCCTGTGGAGCACCTGAGGAGTTCCAGGGGGAGCAGTGCCCTCCACAGGTGCTGCACAGTGTCCTCGGGCAGCCTACAACGTGTCCTGCACGGCTCTCCAACAAGCAGCTGCTTCAGCAGCCCTTTGTGATGGGCCTGCAGGGATGGGAGGCCCCTCTGTGGCCAGTGCTGAGGGCCCCCAGTGGCACTGGCAGCTCCAGCCCTGCTGGCCACGCTGACAATGGGCAGTGAGACAGATTCCCTCTTGCCTTCTCCGCTCCCAGGGGAGTGTGCACCACGTCCAGGGAGCACCTGAATCCCTCCAAGCCTTGTGGCAGGTGAGGGTTTTCAGGAGTTGGGGCTGGCACCTGAAAAACAAGCCATTTTCTGTGCTGGGAGGAAGAGACAGCCACTTTGCAAAGTCTCCCTTTGTAAGACAGCTTCAGGGCCAGCAGTGCAACAGCAGCTCTGGGTGAAAGCAGAGCCCTGCAAACAGGGAGTCTGGCTGCCTTGGGAAGAGGCTCCATGGAGATCAGGACTCATCCCAGCTTGCTCTGGGAGGGAAGCTGGAGGTGTTACCATGATGATGCAGAAAAAAGCCTCATCTTACATTGGGAAGGAAACAAGGCAAAAAAATCCCACACTCAACACAGGTCTGTAGGATTTGAATCAGCTTCTCCAAGGAAAACTCTCCTATTTCTCCCTCCCACTCAGCCCATGTCCAGCCACTGGCCCTGCTGCCCAGCCCACTGGCAGGGCACAGCAGAGCAGGGCAGCAAAAAGGGAGCTCAGCATGAGCAGGACTTGGTGCTGGCAGGCAGGGGAGGCAACACAAGCACTGGATGTACAAGAAAATCTACCTCTGCTCCTGAAGAGTGGGTAAAATCCTGCACTTCTTTCAGGGCTCTGGCTGTATCCTCCTGTCCAATCCTGAAGTGCCTCCATTGAGATGCCAGGGAATCCAAACTGGTTTTCTTCTCCTTTGGCGGCTGGGGTTTGAATTTAGGTGGGTAGAGCTCATCTCTGGAAAATAAGATAACTATGAACAGGGACCTGCAGTGGGAGGGAAGGACACCTGCACGAGCAGCTCCTGGCCAGGATGCAGCCCCTGGCTGGGTGCTGGCACGTTGAACTGAGAAATGGCTTGATCCAGCCCTTCCCAATCCAGGCTGGAGCAGGTCTGTTCTAAAGGCAGCCCAGGGATGACACTGAGGTGCTGCAGCAGCTGCAACTGCTTGCATTGAGCAACTACAGAGGACAGGCATGAACACCTGGTGGGGATGCAAAAAGCACAGTGGGACAGGGAAAGACAGAGAAGGCAGCAAAAAGGTGAGATTTGAGGCACCGAGGGGCAGACCCAGCCAGTGCCCAGCCAGCAGAGCCCCCCCAGTGCCCAAGGCCAGAAACTCTGCAGCTCCACCAGGGATTTATCAGGAATGTTCCCCTGACACTAATGGGGGGTTGGTTGACATTTTCCAACACTCCCAGGCGACTCAGGTCGCATTCCCCATCCATCCATCCATCCATCCATCCATCCATCCATCCATCCATCCATCCATCCATACACAGGCTGTGGTGCTGGGATCCTGCCAAGCTCTGCCAGCCTTGGGCTTGGGGAGATTTCTGCCAGATGTCCTGAGCTCCGTAATTGTACTCTCTGTTCCAGGAAGCAAGCAAGAAAGATTTTAAAAAAACCCAAAACAAACAACAGAGAAACCTAAAAAACCTTCAGCAGCTCAACCCTGCTCAAGTTATTTCTTTAGGGAGAGCTACCACTCTCCAGCTGACATGCTGGGCTTTTGGGGAAAAAGAAAATTACATGTTCATCTCCAAACTGAAAAGTATTAAGGTAAGAGAGAACCTTTCAAACTAAAAATTATTGGCCCAAAGGTGTTACCTTTGCAAGAAATCTCTAGTTTAGACCGGGCTGACAGTTAAACAACTGGTTCTTCTGGTGGGGAGAAAACCTCCTCTTTGAGGGAAGCAGCCTGATAGTTGAAAGCAACTGCTTTGTCAAACTTCAGGCTCCCTGGCACAGCCTGCATTGCCTGTCCTTCCTGTTCACTGATTTACAGGCAGTGCCACAATGGCCCAGGTTCACATGTTTGGTGCCATCCAGGGAATTTGGCATCGCCATTTCCATATGTTTTAATAGAAGTTTAAATCCTTGCAACCACTCTTCAAATGTCAGCTTTCCTTTATTTACAGAAAGCTCAAGGTTCCCAGAAGTCTTCTGACGTCCTCTTTTGTGCTCAGAGAGATGACATTTTCAAACAGATGTTTCCAAAGTTCACAGCATTTGAAAGAAGAATGAACTGAAATGCCCCTGGATTCCAGCTTAGCCGAACTCCATTCTGTGTCAGACACTGAGATTGCCACCTCTAAGGCAGGAGCTGTTTGTGCCACCCATCCCTCCTGTCCTTCTCCCCAGCAGCCTGGGCCTGTTTTCCCCGGCAGAATCCCTGTCCCTGTGCACCCTGCCAGGAGCAGTTGCACACAGGCACACATCTCCCCTTGCCCTCACCAGTGGGTTTCTCTCATCCCCGAACACGCCGATGACAACGTTGGTGCGATGAGTGCCCAGGGCCTGCACTTCCACCACAACTGGGATCTCTGCTGTGCTCTGGGGCTGCACAATCCCACAGGGCTTGGGGCTGGAGTAGAGCACAGCAGAGTCCTCCTTGCGTTTCTGGAAGGGACAGAATGAAATGCAACTTCAGAGGCACCTCTGAAGAAACTTTAGACTCCTTAACATCCACGGCAACAGCAACTTACACGCACGTTTCAAACTCCCCAGCACAAAGGTAAAAGGCACAAACAAGATGCAAGAATTGTAGGCTTAGCACTCCCAGGGGATCCTGCAAGGAGGCTGCCAGCACAGGCATTGGTGTCAGTGGATGCAGCAGCTTTTCACAACCCTCTAAGATCTCCCACAAGAAAACACCCTGAAGACCAGAACATCAACTGTTTCCTCAGGAGCTTCAACTGACTCCTAAAGTTTACAGTCAGGTAGGATCCTGCTCTCAGCAGATCTTTAAGACTGAAGAGAAACCAGCAAGGTCTTGTCCAAACCCTTTTTTCCTCTTAATAATCTCCTCAGTAATATTTGACAGAAGGAGGTGGATGTGATGCCAAACCTGGGGAATGAGCCCGTAGCAGCCAGGAAGGTGGCTGGGATTCCTAATGATGAGCTTCCTCTCATATGGCACCTTCAGGTGGCACTCATCGTACAGCAGCACTTGGGGGGACACTTGGAGCTCAGGAACGAGACATCTGGGCAAAGAGATGACCCCAGGGGAATCAGAGATACTGAGAGAATGGAGAACGTTTCCCCCCAAAGATTGTGAAACGGAGCAGAACACATTGGTCACTGTCAAATGCACACTGAACAGCCCTACAGGGATAAATTGCCTTCTACCCCTTCCCACTCCAACATGTCTTGTCAAGGAGGGGCAAACCCTGAGAGGCAGCATCCAGAGGCTGCCCAGTGCCCCAGGCAGAGCACTTTGAGCCACAGCTGCCTCAGCCCCTCCTTTACCCAAGAAGGCTTGCAAGGACTCCTGGAACAGTCCCAGTGAGCCACGAGCTCTGGGGGAGCCTTCCCAACAAGGATCAGTGCTCCCTAAGGCTCAAGGAACACACAACTCCAGTGTCTCAGTACAAATGACTCCCTTCTCTCCCATGGTGCTGTTGCCCTGCCTGAGAACTCAGCTCTTTGCCCCAGCCTTGGAGGGCACGAGACAGCAGCTGCCCCACAGAGTGGCTGATCAGCCCCTGCCAGGCCCTGCAGCTCCCTGGCTCCTTCACTGCACAGCTCCAGGCCCTGCCTGGCCCCAGCTCCACCTGCTTTACAGAATGGCAGCCCAGGCACTGCCTGGATGGCTCTGCCTGGGACAGGGAACAGCACCAGGGAGCTGCATCCCTCTTGGCATTCAACTGACACCCACAGCAGCACAGCAGCATGGAATTCTGCTGCAGCAACAACGACTTTTGGTCTCAACCCTGACAACATTAAAGCTCAAATTGGGAAGCAGAGGGAAGGAGAATAACTGGAGCTGACCTGCCACATCAAGGGCTGCTTTCCCCTCGTAAGACCTTGCCCTCACCACTCTTGCTGGGAGCCACTTCCCCCCTGCCATGTGCCCTCATGGACAGAGCCAGACCCTGACTCTCAGCAGCTGCTTGGTGTGGCCCAAACCAGTGCACGGTGCTCACAACCAGCACAACTCCACCTCTTGCAGAAGAAGGAGAGGAGGCCCTCGGGAAATTTGTTCCACCTCAAGCACCAAAAACCAGGCCAAGAAATGATATCATTCCTGGTGCCCTTAGCAGAGGGCCCAGGACCGTGTTGGCTGTGAGCAGGGGTGCTTTTCACCACAGGCTGCTGCCCAAGCACTGCTGTTCCCATGTCCAGCTGGCACAACATGAGGCCATTAAGCAGCATTTCTCCTTGGCAGCTGCAGCCAGCAAAGCCTGTGCGAGGCAGCGCCTGGGGGGCCAGGCAAGGGCTGGTACCTGGCTGTGAGGATCAGGGTTGCCACTCCCTTGCCAATACCCTCCAGGTCCACCAGCATTCTCCTGTAGAACTCCATCACCGTGTTGGAGCACAGGGTCACCTGGTGGAAGAGAAGAACAGTCAATTCTTCCTTACAAAAGCTCATTACCCACGGGTGATATCCTCCAGTTCCTGAGGGAGGATTTGGCCTTAATTCTTCTGCTGCTCCATGTGTAGAGCACAGTCTCAGAGTAACAAAAGCCTTCTGGCAATGCCAGATTTGTTAAACACCCCTTGCCATCAGGGCACAGGTCACCTACATTAAAACATTAGACTAAAGCTCTATGCACCACTGCATTCAAATTAAGGGGCCAATTTTTCATCTACAATGAGAAATGCAACTACAATGACATCCATGCAGAGGAAATCTGACTTGAGCACAGCGAGTTCAGCTTCACAGGAGGAAGCTGAGGGCAAAGTGTGGCCCAGGAGGTGCTGGGCAGTTCATGGCTGCAGAGTTTTTTGTCCCCACTGGAGATTCCTGCAGTGAACACACATCATCCTGCTCCCCAGGAGAGGGGAAATGAGACCAAGAAGAAAAGCTAACTGCTTTATCCAATGACATCTCTCTAAAGGCCACCTTCTGCCCTCATCCTTGCTCTGCCCACTTGCAATCAAATAAATCTCTCTCAAAAACACAAGAATGGCTTCAGGCCTTGACCATAAGGTATGTGACCTCAGCATATGAATTTGGAAACCAAACAGTGCTCCTTGAGGAACATCCCGAGTAAGCCAGCTAGCAGAGGCCTCCCAGCAGTGCAGATCTCTCACTGCCAGGATGCTCAAAGCTGGCACCAGAGCTAAAGCCCTCCCACACCGCAGTGCAGCTTCAGCCCTGGTGCTGCAGCGTCTGTGGCTGGGCTCTTGCCGTACCTCGATATCCTGGTGTCCCTGGGGCAGGATGGTGCCTTGGCTGGGATTCATGGTGAACTAACTCCCTGGGCTCCACATAGAAATGGATTCCCTTCCTCCAGGCCGGGTCAGTGTCCCTGCGGATCTGATCCACGCTGTCCACAGCCGGCTGCGTGCCATCGTCCGACATGCGGAGCTGGAACGTCAGGGGCACCGGGGAGCTGTTGGTGAGGCGGCAGCGCCGCGTGTAGGGAAAGCCTGGGGAAGGACACAAATATCCATTCAGGCACCCATTAGGGCATGATCCTGGGGGGAATATCCTGGCAGGATGAAAGTGGGATTGGAGTTGAGCTCTTTATTAGCTGAACTACAGCTCAGCGAGAAGCTGCGTGAGGAATGAATCCTCACTGAGTTCCCTTTGACACAGATTCCAGACTGCAGCCTTGAAAATGCCCACTCCTAGCCCTGCTCAACACTGCAAGCTTCTCTCTTTGTGATAGGGAGGAGCTCCCTCACCTGCCCCAAACCAGCACCAGTTCTCTCTCAGTGATGAGTGTGCACCCAGACCCAGCATTTACTCTGAGAATTCAAGCTGTCAAATTCCCTCGTCAGCCTGCCAACACTCCCACCGTTTTCAAGATATATAAACAGTGAGTCGTCATTGAGAAGAAGCTACAGCAAAAGGAAGTGAGGATGGAATCAGGAACTAGAACGTGATGCAAAGCACCCTAATGCAGCTTGTCTCTGCAGGACCCTTAAGGCATCTCTTGGTTTGGGCCAAACTGACTGAGCACGTGACAGCTCAGAGCCCACTCAACTGGGGGCACACCCAAGCCTTGCTTTGAGATTAGCAATTAGGAACCAGGTCCCACCTCACCCAACAAACGGGGATATCACAGCCATGCTGCTCACTGTGATTGCTGCCTGCAAGGGTTTCCCCCACTCTAGCTCTGAGATTTGCTTTCCACCCCACAAAGCCAGAGATACAGCCACTCATGGTGGGGATGTCCTGCAGAGCCCGCAGAGCAGCCACAGCCTGCTCTGCAGTGCACATCTGGCTGGGCTGGCAGCTCTGTGGGGAGGAGACTTCTCCCCAGGCCTGCTCACCAAGAGTCACTGGAACACAGATGGGGAGAAAAAACAACTGCAGCTGCAGCCCAGAGCTTCTCTGTGCCCATCCAAGTGACCACTGCCAGCTCCAGCAGGGACTCCAGCAGGGAGGCAAAGAGAGGCACAAAAAGGACAAACCCAGATGTCAAAACCTCAAATGAGACTGAGGCCAGCACATGCAGACAACAGTCAACAGTTACAAAGAAGCAAAGATACAACAGCTGCCTGCAGCTGAAGAGACCTTAGGAATGAAATGGCATTCAGCAGGATCAATCTCCTGCTTCAGAACCATATTTCCATCTGTTGCCTTTCTTGTTTCATTTCTTCAAAAGGCAACTTGACAACTGCCTCCGTGGTGATGCAGGCTGGGGCAGAAGCAGCTCAGGAAAGGCAATGAGTTTCCATCAGAAGTTCATGAACTTCATTGTTCTGGGTTTAGGCTTGGCAGTGAATGTTGCCCTTGGTCTGGGACGGGGGATAGGGGTTTGGGGGGGTTTTGGCCCTGGGCTGGGCTTTTCCGTTGGGGGTTTTGGGAGTTGTGGCGTGATGCCGTGGGCGGCTGTGCAGTGGGAGCTGAGGCTGGGCAGGGAGCGGAGCTTCCCTTCCTCCCGCTCGGGGATCGCAGCTCGGCCGCTGCTGCTGCGGGAGGTTGTGTGCTTGGCCCGGGACTGCCCTGGCTGCAGCTCAGTGCTGCCATCGACCCTGCCTGCCTGCCCCGCTCCTGCCTGCTGCTGCTGGGCACTGCCCACATCCCCCTGCCCTTTGGGGGTTTGCAAAAGGAGCATTCCCTCCTTCCCTTCCCTTCCCTTCCCTTCCCTTCCCTTCCCTTCCCTTCCCTTCCCTTCCCTTCCCTTCCCTTCCCTTCCCTTCCCTTCCCTTCCCTTCCCTTCCCTTCCCTTCCCTTCCCTTCCCTTCCCTTCCCTTCCCTTCCCACACCGGCTGGGAGGGGATCCCTGCCCTGCCAGAGCCCACAGCTCCTCCTGCTGTGACCACAACTCCACCAAAGGGGAAAAACGGGACTTGGCCCCTGGGAAACCTCTGTTCTTGCCTTCTTGTCTGTGCTCTCCTGAGATAGTCTAGGAAAGAACTGTTATTCCTTTTCCCATAGTTTTGCCTGGGAGCCCTGTCATTTCAAAGGGATAATAATTGGGAGGGAGGGGCTCATCTTTCCATTGCAGGAAGATTCCCACCTTCCTTGGCAGACATCTGTCTTTTCAAGCAGCACAGAGACACCAGAAAATACTGACTTTCTATTCCTTGCTCCTATTGGATTTCACAATGGCAAAATGCCCCCTGAGGCAGCAGCCCTGCAGCCCTGCAGTTGACAGCCTGAAGAGGCTGCTGGGGCAGACCAGGAGTGAGGGATGCTTTTCTGTTGGAAGGCACAGATCCCTGACGCTGTGTCCCAGCCCAGGCAACACTCACCAAAGGAGATGTCCCCGAAGTCGAGCTCAGGGAGGTCGAAGTGTACACTCGGTGCAGTGACGCTGCCCCTGGAGGCCGAGGACAGAGCAGGAAAGGGCTCGGTTAAAGGGATTGCAAAGGTCCGGCTGTCGTGGCTCGGGGGCACAAAACCTGGGCTCAGGGCACCCTGGGTTTCCAACCAACACAGCACCGTGTGCTCAGCACAGGGCCCTGTGCACAGGGGGCAGCTCACGCCAAGTGGCAGCAGCCAACAGCCCCTGATGGGCTTTGGGCACAGGGCAGGCAGGAGAAGCCCCCGGCTTGCTGGGGGTCCCATGAAGGACCCTGAACACACACCCAGACAGGGCTCCGTGCCTCAGTTTCCCCATCTCCAAGGGGATGGACATCAAGGTGTGCCCACAAACTTCTGTAAGCAGCCCTTCCAGCCACAGGTGCCCTGCTTTGCTCCTTCTTAGCTGCAACTGCTGTTCCCATGGAGGAGCTTTCTCAGGAGAGTTTGACCCACCCAATCATTACAGACAGGGTTCTGAGACACAAATCCAGGGCATTCCCAAACATCCTCTGGAAAGAGCAGCAACAGTTCTACCCAGGGGACAGATGAATCCTAGAGGAAAGGACCAGCTTGTCAGCAGTGCCCCAGCTGGCACAGCCAAGAGCAAGAGCTGCAACAAGCAAACAAGGCTGTCCTGAATCTAGCACAGCACCTCACCTGGCCTTGAACTCAGCAGACACACTCCAAAAGTCACCAACATCCACTGAAATCAGCACTTGAAGCTGCACAACACTCACCAGTTGATTTCATGGTTGATGCCAATCAATGCCCACTCTGCCTTTTGGTTCCAAATCAAGGAGCAGTGACCTGGGCCTTGTGTTGTATTCACAGGACTGCCCCTGGCTCTGCTCTGCACATCTCAACAAGAGACACCTGCCCTTGCTCCAGGAGAAAGCTGCTTATGCACAAACACCCCATGACCACTTTGGGGGAGGGACAGAGGAGAATCAACTCTTTGATGGTGAAAGGTTCCCTCTTGATTTCCAAAAGAAAAAAACCAGCACTTTTCCTCCAAAAACAAAGCCAGCATCATGGTTTCTCCACTATGGGGCACACCTACTCACCACTTTTCTCTTGCTAAGGAGTAACTTCCTTGTTCTTCTTTATCCATCTCCCTTATCTTATTGCTATCATCCAGTGCAGATTGCTTTCATTTCTTGACTGCCTTGAGCCAGTGCCTGCCAAGAGCAGCAGCCCAGCTCCAAAGCTGCAGAGCAGCCAGCATCAGCTCTCCTGCTTCCACTGCATTATCCTAGCAGCAGATGGCTCAGGCTGGCAGGGCCAAGGCCTCACGCTGCTGTGGTGCTGAGGACTGAGCTCTGCCTCCCCTATGGTCAGCCCTTCTCCCTTTGGCTGGGCCAGGATTGTCTCTTGCCATGGCACCAGCCCACGGGATGGTGCCCCAGTCCTTGGCACAGTTCCTGCTGCACAGTTCCCTGACTCCCACATCAGCCCTTTGCTGGCTGTGCAAAGGAGGCACCAGAGCACTCTGTGCACAGGAGCTGGGAGCACAGCTTGTCCCCCACAGCATGGCCATGAGAGCTGAGCTGAGGCTGCTGCTGCCCATCTGGCATGGATTATTCACACAAGGTTTTACAAACACTGCTGCTGCTGCAGAATCACCCAGGCTGGCCCATCTGCAAAGCCCTGGGGGCCTTGCTGGGTGTTCAGCTGGGACATCCCAGAGCAGCTGCTGCCCAAAGCTGATCCATCCCACTGCCTGCCATGGCCCAAGGCACAGGGAGGATCCCTGCAGGGAGGAGTCATTCCAGCTGCCAGGCACCACCCAGGGCAGGAGGCATCCTCACACTAAAGCAATGCCAGCAGCAGAGCAGACATTCAGACCTTTTTTCTCTGCTCCAGCCCAAAAGGAGGTAGGTGGGGGATGTCCCAGAGACAGCCACAGATGTGCCCACCCAGCTGCCAGGGTCCTTACTTGATGGTCAGGATGGCAGGCCTAGGAGATCCAGCCACACTGAACTGGAACTCTTCCTCAAAGCTCCCCAGCACGGTGGCACTGAAGGAGATCTGGACACTCTGGCTCCCACCTGCTGCAATGATGCCCTCCTCGGGTGCAAACTTGAAGCACAAGCCCACGTTGCTGCCTGAAGGGATACGGGTGAAGGGAGCATCAAGAGCTCCTTGGTTCATCAGTTTCACCTGCAGCAGCAAGAAAGCAAAGTGGAAATACATGTGGAACCTTCCCTTCTTGTGAGTTCTTGGCTAATGATGCAATGAACACCCAGCAAAGGCAGAAGATGCTTTGTGCTGCTGAATGGCAGAAGTCAAAAGATACAACAGGACAAGTTCTGCCTTTGGGTTCTCATGCAGAGCAGTGGCAACTCCACAGAACTGCAGTCACCCTGGGCTTATCCCATGGACACAGAGCAGTGCACCTCTGCTCAGCAGCACCCAGCTCACTGGGAGCTGGCCCTGAGAGCAACGTGGGCTGATTGCAGCTGCGGAGTGAATCACCCCAGAGCTGCTGCTGCCCCACTGAGCACAGCTCCAACAGCACCATCTACTCATTCACCTTTTCCCATACCATCAAAACAATACATTGAGAGTGAGGCATCAGCATCAAAATGTACAGACAGCACCATCTCTTGGTAAGAAAACTCAGGGTGTCTTTCTCTTCCCCAGCCAAGCTTTTGAAAGTGTCTGGCATGACGCAGTGCCTCATTTTCTACCTCTTTCAGTTGCTCTCTCATGAAGTTTTTGCAAGCTTGACACTATTGGGGGGAGGCAAAAAGGTAGAAAAATCCTTTGTTTAATTCCCAGGAACACTTTTCTCTTTCTAGAGCCAGAGATGCAGCAAGGCTGAAGTGTGGTGAGGGACTGCTCAGCAAGGGAGAGAACTCCCAAGGCTTTCCTGTCACTTGCAGGAATAAGCAGGGACACTTGACTGGGAGCTGTTTGCAGAGGGCTGAAGCTCAAAGGCAGCCAGTTTGTTGCAGCTGCTTCTGCAGAGCCCAGTGCAAAGGTGCCTTGTGTCTGGCACTGCCACAAAAGCCTCTGAACATGCAGCTTTTGGAGCCAGTGCTGGGTTCATGGGCCAAGGGCTTGTTTTGCAGGAAGCCTTCACGCTGATCCCTAAGGAAGGCTGCCCAAAAGCAGGGACTGGGGCTTCAGGAACAACAGACACACCTTTCTGACCCCCCCAGATTTGAGCAGTGCATCAAATATTCCCTGCTCACAAGTGCCCAGGTTGGCAGCAATTCCACAGCTCCACCAGGCTTGCTGCTGCCAAAGGAGCCATCAGGATCCATCCCAAGCCCTGCTGCTCACCTCACAGACATGGGGGGTGTTGACAAAAACGTTCCCAAGGTTCAGAGTCTGAGAGCTGAGTTCAACCAAGGGTCCTTGGCCTTCCCCTCTGAGCTGCAGGGGCAGCCTGCTCTCACGACCTGGGGAGAGATGTCCATTGCAGTACAATCATTGCCTCTGTCACACTGGATTTTCCAGGCTGCCTCAGTGCTAGTCCCTGACTCTGAGCTGGATGCAACCAGCTCCTGATGCTGCAGGAGAAGATATGCACCCTTCTCTTCCCTCAGGAAAAATCCCTTGGGGCTGACTCCTGATTTCTAACCCATTCCTTGGGCTGCTTTCCAATTTGAGCCACCCGTTTGCTGAGTTTAAAACATCTCTGGTATCCTGTAGTGACAGGCCAAGGAGTAATGGGTAGAAATTGAGAGAACGGAGATTTAGGTTAGATATAAGGGAAGAAATTTTTACTGGGACGGTGGTGAGGCACTGGAGCAGGTTCCCCAGGGAAGGTGTAGAGGTTCCAGCCCTGCAAGTGTTCCAAGCCAGGCTGGATGGGGCTTGGAGCTACCTGCTCTAGGGGGAGGTGTCCCTGCCCATGGCAGGGGCCTTGGCACTAGATGATCTTGAAGGTCCATTCCATCCTTAACACACTGTGATTCTGTGGTTTCCTTCCCATGCACCTAGAGGAGCTTTGAAATCCATTCAGTGCAGGCACAAAGCTCATACAGAGTTTGGCAATTACCAAACTCCCTGGCCCAGGAGCACAGGACTTTGTTGCCCAAGTGCTCCCCTTCTGACACTCAGCACTGTGTTCTATTTGCACAGACTGAGAGCTGCAAGGGCTCAACTCCCACACAGGGAGAGAAGCAGCTGCTGGCCAAGGGGGCTCCCTCTACAAACAGCCTGGGCTCAGTGGGGCTCAGCCACCTCTGCTCTGCTGCTGTCTGGGCACTGGGAGGTGATCCAGGCTCAGGGAGCCCATTTCTAACTCAGCTCCTCCCACCTGATGATGGATCCATGGCAAATGGACCCATCCTGGAGGCCAGGGGCCTGGAGGGCCTTAGTGCTTGTTCACTAAAGCTGTTCTGCTCTGGAGCTCTCTGGCCTTTGAGGGAATGCTGGCAAAGCCATGGCATGAAAACCTCTCCCTGCACTGCCTGGGCTGTTCTGGGATCAGTCAGGCAGACACAGCACTCTGAGCCCTGGCCTGGCACGGGAGACTCCCTGGAAGCTGCAGGGCCAGGGGGGATGTGCCAGCACTGCCCTGCTGACCAGGGACTCTTCCCAGCACTTCCATGGGAGCCCAGTGGGCTCAGGCTTGCACCATGGCTTCACTGAGGGGGAGAGAAGCAGGGCAAAGGAGCTGCACCTGAGATGCTGCAGTAAGCCACACTTCCATACTCCAGTGCTTCCAGGGGCTTGAAGGTCACCTTGATTTCAGCTGAACAATTTGGCCCAATTTCTCCCTCCTACAGCAGAAAGAGACTGCAAAACATTGCTCTGCAAACTTCACATTGCTTGTTTTCACCACACTCCTGTAGGCCTTTGTTTAGAGCATCAGTGATGAGTGAACAACACGAGGAGCCAAGGAAACACTCCAAACCCAGCTCAGCACAGCTCTCAATGCTCAGCTGATCAGCTCCCACTCTCCACAATATTCCTGCTGCTCTGACACAAGCTCTTGGCCACATCATGCTCCTGTCAGCTACAGTGGGATGCAACTGCCACTGTGCACTGCTGGCTCTCAGCCTTAGATGGGCCATAGGAGTAAGCAAGAGGAGAACATGTCCCCTTCCTTGAAATGCAAATATTAGTTCAGCTGTTTTGAAAGAAAGCAGAGGTTGGGATTATTCGGGGCTTTACTCCAAGATGAGAAGGGGTTTTGCACTGTGCAGACACCAGGCATTCATCATCTCTCCCAATGCCAGTACTCAGAATCAGGGCTCTGCTGGATGGGAGCACGTGGCAGTTTGCTTGCATCAGCAGAAAAGGAAAAGGTTTTCTGTCCCTGTGTGCAGGAGAACTCCAAAGGCCCATTTCAACCTTGCACCCTTGTGTCCAGGCTCACAGATGACACTGGAAGGCAGACTCAGAAATTAGTGCAAGGCATGCTCACAGGAGGGGATTGGCATTTCTGTCATTAACCTTGGGCTGAATTTGGCCTCCTTTTGCCAGGGAACCATTGCAAGCTTCAGGTCAGTGTGTGAGCTGGCAGGGCTCCAACAGCCTCTGCTGAGCCCCACGTGTGGGGGGAGCCCCTGCCTACAAGAAGTGCTCCCTGTGACACTGCAAGGACACGCACGCGGGGCCTTGAGCTCCAGCCTGGCAGCAGAGCTGGGCTTTGTCAGGCTCCCAGCCCTTCCTTGAGCCTGCAGGGCACAAATGCTTTGAGCAGGGAGCTCTGCAGCCGCTCCAGGAACTCCATGTCCTCCCTGCCAGCACATGGGGCCAGCTGAGGATCTGCCCAGTGACCGCAGCCGGGGCAAGGGGTGGGTGTAGGGAGTAGGGCGGGTGGGAGGAGGAGAAGGAGGAAGAGAATGTTCTCAGCTATCACTCACCATTGGCTCAATGACAAAAATGTCATGGGAGAACAGCATGGGGTCTTCTCGCACCTTTGCCATCTTCTCCTGGACCATGCTGCTCAGGAGGGCACTGTGATCTCCACTAAAGCTCTTCACCTTCTCTGTTTCTTTCTCCTCTGGGAAGTTTTCCTGGGACACCTCTTTCTGCAGCTGCAGCAAACACTGCCTGCAGCCCCAGGGAGAGACAAGGCCAGCAGATGGTTTCATGAGCCACAGATTTGCAGAGAGAAGTGGGAGAGCAGGAGAGCAAAGCACCTGGGGAGGAGCAGCAGCAGCAGCTCCCCAGCAAAGGCTGAGCCCAAGCCACAAGAATCCCACATGGATCAGAGGATAACTTGCTGTTCACTGGCACAGCAGGGACTTTTACTCCACACTTGCAAGCTCAGCAGAGGTTTCCAAAGCCAGCAGCCCTCCAGAGAAGCTCCTGCCTCAAAGCCTCTGCCACAGCTGAGGGAGAATCCAGCGGCCACCTCAGCTGGCTTTTCCTCCCCCTGAGCTGCTCGGGGGAGGCACAGAAAGATCACAGAGCACCCACTGCAGCACTTCCCTGGCAAGGGGAGAACAAGCTGGCTTGCAGCTACGTGTTACCAGCATCACTCTTTGTTTCTTCCATTTTGGACCTGCCCCGTTCCCTGCTCTGCCTTTCACAAGAGCATCCCAGAGCACTTCCAAAGAAAATTGATGAATTCAGGCACCCAATCCCTTCAGTGACATTCAAGGTTTTATATGCAATATGCATGAAAACAGAGCCTCTGAGAGGCAAAGGGACTTTGTTGTGCAGGAGGGAGACAGCAAACTCCTGGAGAGACCTTTTCATGAGCCAGAGCTTTTTGGCTCCCATCCCAGTGCATGGCAGTAGAATGTCCTGAGAGGGAAAGGATCCTGCACTATCTACACTCATAAAAAACTCCTCTCTGCTCTGAGAGCTCAAAAGCTTCTCTGACAGCAGGACAGGGGGAGACAACCAGCCCCCATGGGCAAGGAGCTTTTGAAGGAACTAAGGGGAAAAAAGAGGGTGTATCACCTTTGGAAAGAGGGACTGGCAACTCAGGAAATGTTTAGGGATGTTGCCTGGTCATGTAGAAAGGAGATTAGAGAGACAAGAGCCCAATTAGAACCTGAGGAAATCCAGTCATCACAATCAACCTTTCCTTCCCAAAATGCCGTCCCTGGCTGGACTATCAATGAACTGGAATGCTGAGTGCTGAGCTCCTGAAGCCCAGGGACACACACCCCAGTGCCAGGCATGGGTTACTTGGCCTAAACCATTCCAAAGCACCAACACCCCCTGAGGCCACACGTCAGTTTCAGTCTTGGGCCTGTATCTCACTGAAATGCATCTTTCAAACCAACCTCCTCTTCTCTTCATTCTCTTCTTCCTCACTAGGAAAAGCCTTCCACTGGAAGTGGGCTGTGATGTTACTCCTGTTTTCAATGAACAGGGTTCTGTGGCTTGACATGGTGATGAAAGTCTTGTCAACCTCCACGGAATCTGTGCTCAACCCAATGTTGACATCTACAGCTTCTCCATGGAGCTTTGTGTGGATTCTTTCTTCACCTGGAACAAAGCAAAGGGGAGTCTTTGCTCAGCTCACTGGCTGATGGAAGCACAAGGAACAGAGCAAACCACAGGGCACAGAAGAAAGTGTCACAGTTTTGAGCTGAATGAGCAGTTCTGTGGATCAGTCCATTTATCACATCCTGACAGCTCTGTGTGTAGAGCGTGGGGATGTCCTGGGCAGCTCCTTAAACACCTTATTTCTGAGGGTGTTTGTAGAGATTTGGCCCCAAGGTGACGGTATGGGCAGGGAGATTGGTCCATGTGCTCCGGTGACCCACTCAGGTCACCGGGATTTCTGCATCCAAGTCCTTCAGGTGACAGGGCTGAGGAGCCCTGTTCAGCCCTGCCTTGCCCAGGGTCTCCCCGGGCATCCCAGGAGACTCCTGTCTCTCCTGATGCCTTGGATCCCTTCTTGCTGACCAGCAAATATGCCTGGGGGCAGGTGGGCAGCAAAAGGAGGCCCAGAGGAACAAGTGAAGGGACAGCCCACAGCAGGTGAGGAGACAGGTGAGGAAACACAACCCGCCTGGCTCTGCAATGTGACAAACCACTACAAAATGAGCACCATGACAATCATCATCATCATCTCCCTGTCCAAACCCACAGCCACATCAGTCTTGAAATATTTTATATTGTTCTGATCTGAAAAACCAAGCTGGAGCATTGCAAATCAAATAAGAAAGGGACAAAGGAAAGATTAGTGAGTACAGAGCAGTTTCTACATTAAGACTGAATGGGATTCCTCAGTCTAGAAATCAAATGGGAGATAGATGTGAGAGGTTTGCAACAGCGTGAACGGCCTGCGAAATGGGGACAGGGAAAAATTTGTTTGGATTTGTCACAACAAAGGAACTTGAGGGCCTGAAAATGTTGTTGTGCAGAAACTACATCTATGTGTAAGGGCCACATAGAGAAAGGATCTGTGACAAGCCAGTGGAGAAGCAGCATATGGGACAGAGGTGTGCAAGAAATCCATTGCATTGGAGAGAGTCTGATGGAGACCTCACCTACAGCACTGTCCAGGAATCAAATAAAACTTCACCCAGGCATAGCCACATGGTAGTGGAGAATCAGGGATCCTCCTTCCTCCACTCAGCAACTCCAGCAAAACAGGAGTCCAAAATCTTTGCCTTTGTTAGAGGGGATCCACTTTCTCAAGCCCCTGAACACCAAGGAGTTCTCAGTTTGCTTTGGGGTAAAGCTGAACAGGGGAGGCACCTCTAGAGGGAATGCAGGGGATGGGACAGCAGGGAGCCATGTGGAGAACTGTCCTGTGCCCTGCAGGGCCCAGCACTCACCTGAGCTGCAGCACACGGCCAGGGAGCCGCAATGGGCACCGCTGGCCAGCGGGTGAAATGCCACTGTCACCTGCACGGTGTCACCAGCGCCCAGAGCTCCTGTGGCCGGCACCACGGAGAAAGGACTGCAACACAAAGAGAGGCATCAGGCCTGGGGGACACCTGGCCATGAGATTCCTGCTGCACTGCAGCTCCCTGCAGCTCCCTTGGGCAAGCAGGGAGCAAACCAAGCACAGGCAGCAGAAGACAGCCAGAACAGACAGGATCAGAAACAGCCACTGAGCCACTGCTGAAGAGATCCAGCCCTCACAAGATCCTGGGGGTAAAATGACCTCAGCTCCCCCATACTCTGCATCCAGCTCTCTGCAATGAGGCTCAAGGGTCCCACTGCCAGCAATCCCAGCAGAGAATGGTTGGTGAAAAGCACAGAGAGGGTTCAGACCTATCTGCATGCACAACTTGACACTGACTGCCTCAGGAATTTCTCTTTTCCTGCTGCCTATAAACCTCATCTCAGGAGATGCAAATGTTAGGGCACTCCCTGTCCTGGGAGATTACAGCCTAGGAATCAGACAGGGAGAAGGAACTTTTTTCTCTGAAGACCAAGGAATAGTTACTGTTGAATTTGCAGTGTGGTTCTTTGGTTTCTTTGCCCTTGAAAACATCCTGATTTAGCCTAAAATGGACACATTTTATCAGCATTTCAATGGAAGCTGCTCTAAGAAAAGGAGCAATCAAAACTCTGAAAGAGTGCAAATGCAGATTAGAGCAATAGAGTGACATGGAAACAAGACCCAAAAGGAGGATGCCATTTACAGTCTGAAGGGTCCAATCCCAGCTAAATGAAGCACCATGAGCAGGAGCACATCAAGGAAGCTGAACAGGAGGTTTCTCTGTGTTTACCAGCAATGCAGTCTGGGACTCTGGGCTGTCATGCAGGCTGGTAATTGTTTGCTTGGCCCAGCTGCTGGGCTTTGTGCTCTTCTACAGCCCCAGGGAGGAAACAAAAGTTGCTGGCCTTGGTGCTTTGCTGCTGGTCAATGTGTCACTTCAAAGTGTCTTCTGGGGACTTTGGTGATGAATGCATCACACACAAAAACAAAGAGAGCATCTGGCAAGCTGAACTTTGTTCATGTCAGTAGTGACAGCTGATGAACTTGCTTCAGGTTCTGCTCATTCAGGACCTCTTGCTGCAGTGATGGGCTGAGCTGTTCCCATTCCCACTGGTGAGAACATCACTGCTGGCTGATGGGGAAGCCTTGGGCCAGCAATGTTCATGTGCTGGACGTGAGACTTTGGAGGGAGGGGAGGAAAGACAAGGCCCCAGCAGCCCCAGAGCCAGATCAGTGCACGTGCTCCTGCATCTGCCCCGGGGCTGATGCCAGCACTGCTGCAGCTCTGCTGGGGCTCGGGGGGATCAGGGCCTGCTGGGGGCAAGGCACAGCATTCTTCTCTTAGTCTTTTGCCAGAAATTTCATCAGAACAGAGAAGCTGCCTCTTAGGGGAATCCCAGGCCAGACTTCAGCACTACCTTCCATTCCATTCCATTCCATTCCATTCCATTCCATTCCATTCCATTCCATTCCATTCCCACTTCTGCCCCATGTTACATGCTCCCATGCTCCTGCCTTCAGATGGCAGGATGGGAATAACATCCTAGGGGTGACTTCAGGGCTTGCCTGAGAAAGAAGGCAAGTCTTCTTCTTTTCAAATTATCAGGAGAAAAGGATCCAGCCAAGTTCAGGACTCAGTTGTCAGGACTGAAAAACTGAGTGCAAATCAGCCCCTGCATCTCCTACATCCCTGGGCTGTACCCACCAGACTCCTCTGTTCCTGCTGTAGCAGTCATCTCTCACACAGACCTGGCTCCCCAAGACCCAAGGACACAAGCTCTACAGCTAAACTTAACTCCTCTCAATTTCAGCCAACATCACTAAGCTGTTCCCTGAGCCCACAGATAGAAGAGCTGTGAAGGACACATCCCTGACACGGTAAGAACCCAATGAAAACCACTGCCAAGAGATGGGGCTGGCAAGCTAAATGTTGGCCTTTTCTCTGTTCATTGTGAGCTGCTCCTTAAGACACTTCTCATCCTGTTAGATCCATCCTCTCAATGAATCACTACTGCACCTGACAGGCAGAAAAGATAAGGGATGGAGGGGGTTTTAATAGGTTCTTTTCTTCTGCTTTTTAACTAGGTCCATTGACATGTCTGTTTCCTTGTATGGCATCTAAAGACAGGCCCAGATCTCCCAGTGGCACCTTGCAATCCCCAGACACTGCTCTTGCTTTGAGCAGTGTGTGTGCTCAGATGATTTCCAGAGCTCCCCTCCAGGACCACTGCAAAGCCACGTGCCTGTGGCCTCCCAGAGAATGGCTCTGTTTGGCTGACAGTGCTGAGGAAGCATTTCAGAAGCTGCTGGTGCTCAGCAGGGTGCAAGCCAGCTACCAACATGTTCCAGCAGCCTCCAGGAAATCTGGGACAGAGAAAGCTCCAAGGCCGCTGAAAGCAAGAGCAGATGCCATCCATGCTGCTCACTTCCAGCCAGGCTGCAGGGCAGCAGCTGCAATGCTCTGGCTCCTTTTGCTGCTCTTCCCCAACCCTGCCCTCTCCCAAAGGTGTTTTGCACAGGGACAGATGAGCTGCCTCACCTCTGGGTGCTCAGCTGGTACCGAGCTGCCCGGGCACCGACATTGCGCACCAGCAGAGTCTGCCGGGTGCTGACCTTGACTGGACACTTGGAGAAGTCCAGCTGGGCAGGGAAGTCCAGCACAGCTCGGGCACCAATGGCCCGAATTGGCACAACTGTCCTTTCCCTGGCAGTGATGCAGACCAGCTCGTGGCAATAATCCTGCAGGAAAAGAAACTGCCTCAGCACAGGGCATTTAGTGCCATCCCCATGGCAGAAGAAAAACCATTTCTATAACCCTTCAAGGACATCAATTTACCTATTGCACCCTAAAATGAACACGAAGTTCTACTAATATGTCACATTTTAAAGGCACAGGAGCACTTTGCCAAAACCATCTCTGTGGCATTCAGCTCTTGTGTCACTTGGGTCATTCCCATACCCTAGGCCACCATAGTTTTTACTCTAAATTTTAATGATGTTAAAGAATTCCTAAGGCCCTTCTAAGGAGCATGGAGCAAGGGAACACAAGACATGCCTCTTTACGTTTCTATGTTCCCACTGTCTGAGAATAGGACAAAGCGTTCAACTGACTCTAAGCAGCAAAAGGAAGATGAGAAAACAGCTGCACCCAAAGAGATCCTGCACCTCTGGCCTGGTGCAGAAACATCAGTTGGCTCAGAACTCCCCTCTAACTTTGCCTGTCCAGCCAAGTCAGGAGAAGAACAGTGCCAAGATGCAGCAGGATGCTGTTGGAAAGGGCCTCTCTTTGTTTCCCTGCAAGGCTTCCTCCCTTCCATGCCATGTCCTAAACCCTTCTGTATGAACAAGCCTCCAGATCAGAACATGAACCCTCCAGATGCCAGCACTGAGGTCAGACTTGCCAGGGCCTCAGCACTGCTGTTCAAACCTGCCCACAAAAGCACCTTTGGCACGGAATGGGTGCCAGCTGACAGAGCAAGCACAGTGACAGGCATGAAGACAGAGCCCCACCAGTGTCACTGCCATGGGCTCTGGGCTCACAGCTCTGCCTGCAGCTTGTACCTGCCCTGCAGCAGCTCCTGCAGGCAGGTGTCCAAGTCCCCTGCAGCTCAGCAACCTCCTGCTGACCAAGGGCACCCAGAGCCTAGTGTGCCTGTGCCAGGCTGGGCTCACGGGCACAGCACATCCTCTGCCCTGGGCCTGCTGCTGTGCCATGGTCACTTGTGCTCTGGGACAGCACAGCTGCAAGGCTGCAGAACAGAGGGGCTGAAAAAGCATCGTCTTTGCTCTTGCCCAGGGGCAGGCAGGGAAGCTGTTGCCAGTCAGCAAGGAGGAAGCTCCCTGACCTCTTTGTTCCTCTGCTGTTTTCCACCATAATGAAACCCCTTCCACTGGACCTAGAGATGGCCCAACAGCGATCAACAGCCCTCTGTCATTTTCATCCTGTTCCCTGTGCATCTTCCCCTGGCAATGCTCAGGGATGTGCAGGGAGGGGAAGCAGAGCCTGTCAGGCCTGGCTGCAGTGCCTGCCAGCAGTGCCAAGGTGTGACTGGCTGCAGGCTGCCTGCCCACGGCCTGGAGCCCAGCTCACAGCATGCAATGGGCTGGAGCCAGAGTGCAGGGAAAACAATGGCTGTGGAGATCATCGTGTGCTTTGGCTCCTCCAGCCTCACCTTGTTCTCGTCGGGGCTGAAGCGGATGCGCACAGGGGCAGAGGCGCCTGCTGGCACCATATGGTACACATCCCTGGGGCACGCCAGCTGGAAATAAGGGCAGCTCTCCATGCACACCTTCACCAGCCGAGGCATCTGCAGCAAAGACACCAAACGATGATTTTGCCACTTGTGGAAACAGGACCAGAGGAGACCTGTCCGTGCCCTGCTGACATCCCTCCCTGGCCCCTTTCCCAAAGCACTTTCAGCTGTGCGGGCACAGGCACACCATTCACAAGGCTGAACTTGAATCCCTTCTCTCTGGCTCCAGCATTTTGGCCAGGGCCAGCAGGGCAGTGCCTGCTGGGAAGGAAGGGCCGAGCAGCTCAGCACCAGCAGGATGGAGACAGAGCACCTGAACCAAGTCATCTGCATATTCAACAAGGCCAAAAAACCTGCTGGCTTCTGCCTGCACACAGCCATGAAGTTGTCATGGTCCAGAGGGGGAATGTGCTACCTACAAGCAAACCAGCACATTGTCCTGGGGGAAGGAAGAAATGCCCTTCTAGCAGACCAGGTTTGGGTAGGGACCTTGTGGGGATACAGTCAGGCAGGCAGAGCAGCAAGAGAGGAGACCAAACACTGTGGCCTTACTGGGAAGAAAAGCAAACCTGAAAAGCAAAAGAAGGAAGGAACACAGCAAGACCATCCCTAAAACAAGGAGAAGGCAAAGAGTATTTCAATGGGCAGTGAAGCAGCAAGGAAGAATCACAAAACCATGAGAGCAATCAGCTTGCCAAAAGTAACAGAAACACAGACAGGCTGTGCCTATGGACTCTGGGCTTCAAAGGCATTTTCTGCCTGGAGAAACATGACCAGCACTGAGTGACAGTGTGGTTCCAGTATGAAAAGCCAATCTTGGCTCTCCAGGGCTTCCTGCTGCCTGTGCAGGCAAGCTGGGCTGCTGGGCATTCCTGCCTGCAGCCAGCAGGCCAGGTGCTGCCCTCTGGGATTCACAGACACAGCACACATGCATTTTCTAGCACACTGATATCCCCTGAGCACCAAAATGCTCTCCAAAAGTCTAAACCAGATGCTTTGGGCTCCCTCCCGTCTCCTCCCACCAGCCCACTCTTGGCACAAGCCTCACTTGAAAAAATGTTTCCCTGACTGAAATTCAAATGGCCTCAAGTTTTCCCCTTTACAGTGGAACACAACTGCTGACATTTTTCAACTTTTTCCCTCGCAGCTCTCTCAGGAAACTGCAAAACAATCCCAATTTCTTCAAGTGAAGGTGGAAACCTCCAGGAACACATGGCTTTGGATGTGCTGTGGTTCTCCAAAGGGAACACAGAGCACCGTGTTGCTTTTGGAAAAGCTGAGCAGAGCTGGATGAAGCTGAGCAGGAGCCTCAAGTGGCCCCTAAAGGCCTCTCACTGCTTCTGCTCCACCAGTCTGGTTGCAGGGCTCTTTCAGAACACGGTTCCTGCAGTGCCAATGCCATTAATGAGAAGTGATGCTAGCATAAAGTGCAGAAGGCTCAGCCCCTGAGCTCTGACTCTGAGCTGCACAAAGGGAGCCAAACTGGCTGAGAGAGGCAGAGATTCCTACCAGGAGCCAAGATTAACCAAGGAGACACAGGATGTGCTATAGACTCAAGGCAAAGCATGAGAGCAGGTAAGAACTGTACAGCCCTCAACATTCCTATCAATCCAGAGCTTGCAAGAGAAGGAAACTCCTTTGGGATAGACACCATCAAGGCATGGCCAAAATCAGGGGACAGTTTCCAGCACAGGAAGATTTCCACCATCTCGCAGAACAAGGTGCTGAGACATTTTCTTCTGCATGTGCTGCAGCAGATAACTTGCTTTGCTGTACACTGGGGGAATGACAGCACTCTCCTCTTCCAGCACAGTGTTAAAGCTCTGGGTGCCAGCACTTACCTTGTCCTTGTTCATGAGAGACAGCACCATTTCAGAGACCTCCCCAGCGATGAAGTTCTGAAATACCAGCACTGGTGGGGAAACCCCAAACCAGCTCTGTTTCGGGGCAGCTGACAGCAGCTGGAGAGGAGAGAGAGCAGGGAGAGCTTCAGCTGCTGGGAGGAAGGTTCATGCACGAGAATCTTCCACTGATCCCCATGAAGTACAGACTCTGGGGGAGCACGTCTGCCCAGCCCACACTGGGCAAACAGTGGCTCACCCACCTCTGCTCTGAGCTGATCCACAGCTGCTGGGCCACACAGAGCAGGCTCAAGCCAAGCTGCTCTTTTGCCATGGATTTCTCCAGGTTTCTTTCTCCACAATGCCAGGCAGCACTTTCCTTAAGCACAGCCCTGTGCCCATGTGGTCACAGAGCTCTGGGGCACTGACTGAGCACTCCTGGAGTAAGGTAAAACCCATGAATTTACAGGAGACTCCATGGGAAACAATTTTGGGATGTCCTTTACTCTGAGACAGGGAAACCGAGGCCCACACAACTGCAAATATCTTTTTTGCTCTAGAATTTAGACATCAGTAAGAAGAGCACAGGACCAGAGGAGATGTGAGAGATGAGCTGACATTTGGCTGAAGCCAAAAGGTCATGAAGCAAAAGAATGGAATTTGCTGGTTCTGTGTGTTGCTTGTGGTTTGCATTTGTTCAGGTTGAGTGTCACAGTGAGAGGGACGGGGTTGAAGACCTGACCAAAACGAAGGAGGACGAGAGGGGAGGGGACAGAAAAGTTGGTGGTCAGTAGAGAATGGAAGCTCCTGAGTACCCATCCAATGGCAAAGGGCACAGGGGCCGCCCCAGCCGGGTACAAAGGGGATACAAAGATTGCCATTTTCTCGGGGGGTGTGTGTGTGTGCTTGGCTCTCGGGGAGGGAGACATGCCCGGCTCAGCTGAATCCTTACTAAGAAACACTTTTCTTTTGCTCTGATGATTTTGTTCCCTTTCATTGTACTTAAAATTCAGTGTGTTTCAAACAGAGGGAAAGGCAAAAATAAAAAGACAAATGAGCTGCAAAGAAAAAGACAAGTGAGGTGAATGCTGAATGAGGATAAGGTTCAGTTATTTTCTCAGCAACTTGGGTAAAAGTAGAGTTGCTATCTCCTTTTTCCATGAGCTTTAAATGGGTGCTTTCTTGTCATTATTGCTATCTTATTCAATGCCATTGTAGAGGCACGTCTGGAATGACACAAGAACAGCAAATGCTTCTGGAGCAGAGACATTGCTTGGAGAAAACTCTGCCCTGCTTTGTCTGCCTTCTCCAGCCACACTGCTGTCACTGCAGAGACGCAAGCAGGTCTCCTCTGTGACTTCACAGCAGACACATTCTGCTGAAGGGAGTGGCTGCAGCACACTGTCCCTTAGCTGTGCCCTTTCCTGAGGTGTTCCCAAGGCCCCTCTCCAGGACAATCCTTAACCTGGATTGTGTTCCGTGGCTCTTGGGGCCAATTTACTGCTCAACAGCCCACCTCAATCACCTACCCCTTTGGACTGTGCTTTCTACTGAGCCAGTCCTGCCAGAAAAGCAGCTTTAAACACACCTCTAAGTAGGCACTGATCCAGATAAAGCACATCCATTCCCCTCTGCCCAGGGCCAGTCCCCTGTACATCTGGCAGCCTGCAAAATCTAACACCCCGTCAGGCTCCCAACACATTGTTCCAGCCCAAAGCAGTAATGCAATTTGTTTTGTTAAAGCTGAAGTAATTCCTGCACATCCTTGGCCTTCAAAGGCCAACGCTGCCACTCTGGCGGGAATCCGGTGACCCCAAGCATTTGATGGTGACCACACCAAAGCAGGAGAATGGCAAATGGCAATGTTGTGCCTTTGTGTCCCCAGCCTTCCCCCTGTTAGCAATGGCAGCTACGCTCCAGCACACCCCAGCAGCTTCAGCTGAGGTTATTTGTGTTGGCTTAGTGCAGATCAGGACTCCCAGTCCACCACTCCCAGCAGTTTGCAATGACAGCAGGACCTGGACACTGAGGGCTTTTGCTGGAGGCAAGCCTGTCACAAGCACACACCCTCTTCAAACTTCCTGTTAAACAGAAAGGAAAAGAGCAGGAAAAGGCTACCTTTGGACGAATCTCACTCCTGTCTAGAAATGGGCCAATTCTAGGCAGAATACTCCCTCCAGTGTTGGCCTCCTTCTTCCTGCTGAGAAACTTCTCCCTCAAGAACTTAGAGGGAAGCAGCTGAAAGGCAAAAATACACCAGCTAGAGCCTCAGAGATGCGCTTGTTCAGAAAGGCTTTTCTTGAACAAGTGGCACTGGTGAATAACTTGTGATCACAGCCACTGGGACAGCCCTGGAAGCCCTGGAAGTTTCCTGCTGAAATACTTAGCATCAGTCAATTAATAAAACAGAGTGCAATACACATACTCCAGCCACAAGGCTCTGTCCCATGAGCTTCTCCGTGACCGGATGGGACATGGTTGGGGATTTCTGCTCTTTGGGCATTTGTTTCCTCTTATGTTTCATTGGATTGAGGCAGTGACCTTTCCAGAGAATGGGGAGGAGCTCTCAGAGCTGCCTGAACTCCAGCCCTGCACAACACTCAGAACTCACAGCAAGGAGATATCGCTGCTGGCTGAGTCCAAGAGATGCAAGAAAACAAAGTTGTACCTAGAGTGAGGTGCACAGGAATGTGTCCAGGTTTTAGTTCTCCCTGTTAATTGTTTTCTCTGTCTGGGCTGACAGAGCCCTCCACAGAAGAAAACAGAGGGATCTCCTTGACCGAGCCTCAGCAGTGGGGCATCTTCAGTCAAGTGAGCTGCAGACAGCAAGGGACCTTTGTGGCCCTGGCCCCAGTGCTGCCTGCAGGGCTGGATCTGTGCCCACACAGGAGCTGGGAGAGAACAGCTGCTTTGCAAGCTCTTCCAGCTGGGACCAGCCGTGGCTCTCAAGGCTTTGGGCAGAGTTTGAGCCTCCCCCCCACATGCCCAGGTGCCCAAGGGCACGATGGTCAGAGCAGCACAGGTGAGTGCCCAGCCTGACAGAAGGAATTCCTGTGGCAAAGGGAAAGGGACACAACACATGCTCAGGGCTTCAGCTGTACATTGGTTTCACTTGGCTCCGCTGGCACAGCCAGGCAAGGCACCACTGAAGCATCCCACAGTGTTCCCTACTGCACCAGGACAGCCCCAGCAACAGGAGCACGGCACAAAGGGCTGGGGAGGGGCTCTGCAGCTTCACAGCACTGCTGGACAACAGGGGCAGGGAGAGCAGGGACACCAGGGCACTGCCAGCCTTAACACAGCCCCAGGGGCTACTCACAGCATCAGGCTTCAGTCCTTCCCTGGACAAAAGACGAGGTGTTGGTGTCTTCTTTGGTAATCCTGACGCCATTTCCAAGGGAGGATCTCGCAGATGAGCCACAATGCCTCAACAAAACTGGAAGGAGCAACAATGGAACTCTGAAAATCCAGCACCCAATTCATGGCAGATTCTAGGGATATACTGGTGCTAAAAATGTTACATTATTTGAAAGTAGCTAAGCGCTTGTTTGGTGTAAGTAGCTAGTATAGTTAGGCCTCTAGTTGGACTTTATTTGAACTCCATGGCTACCTTGTGCAAGTCAAAGATGGATCATACTGAAACCTGGAGCTCAAAAGCTGAACATTAATAAGAGTTGGAACAGACAAAGCTCTAGCCTAAATATTACTTAAAAATAGCTAGAGTGGGCCTCCTCTTCTTTAGGCTAAAGCACCCCTGTGCTCTCTCAGCTGTTCCTCACAGCTGAGAGACTCCTGAGAGACTGGAATGTTATGGCTAATGGCTTAAATATCATCATAAAGGACTTTCTGCCCATTGGGACAAAACTGTATAAAGAAGCTGCGACCACCAAAGCCCAGCCTTCCCTGAAAATGCCTCCTGACTGGAACTTGGCACTGTGAGTTAAGCTGCCTAAGGCAACTTGAGACAAGATCAAGGTGACACTATTGTCCCATTAGCTCAGGGCTGGGGAGAAGTAAACAAGGCTGAGGAGAAAAACCTATCCACAACAAAGCCAAACCCAGCAGCTGTCCTGAAAATCAGCTCTGTCTGCCTTCAGGCTGGGGAAGCCACAGCCACAGGCTCTTCTGCTGAGGCCAGGTTTGCACACAAACCTCCCATCAAAGACCTCCACAGTGCCTCCAGACCCATTCCTGAGGCCTTGCACCAGACCACTGCAGGGCATGCAAACTAACACAACAAACCGGAAAATCCAGAACCCAACTCATGGCAGACTCGAAGGATATATGGGTGCTAAAGATTTTGTATTATTTGAAAGTAGCAAGAGACAGAGTCAAACTTGCCCCAGGCCAGGGAGGTACCTGGGCAGTCCCACCTTGCCCAAATCTGCATGAATCCATTGGAGTCTTACGTTTTGCCAGACCTCACCACAGAGAAGACCACAAGAGGATGTAATAGTATGCCAATGGGATCCATGGAATGGTGATATTTTCTACTAAATCTGTCTCTGTCACTCTCTTTCTCCCCCCTCCCCTTCCCAACCCCCATCCCCCTCCCACTTTTCTTTCTCTCTCTTTCTTCCTCACATTTACTGTTACATATTGACTATTGACTTTTGACTTTTGACTATTGACTTTGGCATGTGGTCTCATTTGCACCTCAATACAGAGGCATCTCCCTAATAATTTTGATAACCAGGTGATAAAAACCCACTGAAACTTGAACAGAACTCATTCACCTTTAAGCAGTTTAAGCAATTACTATAGGGAAAAATGTATAGACTAGTATATTTAGAAAATGTTGCATTTCTTCAGTGAAAAAAAAAAAGCACAATCAGTAGACCATTTATTGTTCATCCTCTCAGGTGTACATGTCACTGAACTACTGCGCCAGAAGACTGGCATGATCACATCCTCTATTGCCCTTTGGCATTCTCTTTCAGAGCACAGATGAAACAAAACCAAAAAGTTCAACTTTAGTCGGTCTTTACCTTCAACTGAAATTCAGGACTCCCTAGCAGAGACCGATGTTCTGCACGCTGAGGAACTTTTCGCAGAGGCCAATGCTCTGCACCTTCAGGAATTCTCTGCGCAGACCAATGCTCCGCCAACAATTCCCTTGGCGAATCGCCCGCTGCAGCCGCCTGCAGGAGCCCAGGCTGCGCACACCCAGCCAGGGCCGCGCTCTCAGGCAGCTGAGGCCGCGCCGCTGTCACAGACGCTGAGGGCCCGGGCGCGGTTACCGGGCAACCGCGGCACCGAGTGCGGGGCCGGGCCGGGCCGGGCCGAGGGGATTTCCAAAAGAGATTGTCACTCGAGCGACTGACTTCAGTTTGGTGCTTCCCAAGAGCCTTTCTGTAAGCAAGGAAAGGTTAAAATGTGCTGATAAAGGCACCTATGTCAGGTCTATTCATTGCTCTTTGTAGCACTACTATTCTACCCTGGCTGGAACAGCAGGAGGGGCTGAGGGAGCTGGGAAGGGGGCTCAGCCTGGAGAAAAGGAGCCTCAGGGGGCACCGTCTGGCTCTGCACAACTCCCTGACAGGAGGGGACAAGAGGCTGCTTGAAGTTCAGGCCCCGCCGGAGCCGCGTGCTTCCCCCTCTCCTCCTCCGCTCCGCCTCTTCCTCCCTCCCTCCTCCTCCTCCTCCCCCGCTCCCGGAGCCCTCGCAGCCCGCGGGCGGGGCGGGGATGGAGCCGGGACAGGTCGGAACGCAGAGAGGGCTGGGGGGGATGCCAGCAGTGGGAGTGACTGGGCTGTACTGGGATCATCCTGGGAGCAGCTCCTGGGTGACCGAGTTCTGCTGGGATCATCCTGGGATCACACTGGCAGTGAGTGTTATAAAATTGACTCAAAACGAGCAATTTCCAATCAAAGAATTTATTAATTATTGAAGCAGTTATACTACGTAAGCAAAGGCTCAGCGCTGGGCGACAGGGGAGTCTCAGCTCCACCTACTGCCGCACCAACTAGTTTCTGATTCAGTCCTTTTATCCTCTCCATCCTTCAGGAGTCCATGTTATCTCGGAGTTCTCTGCGCCTGCGCTGGTTGTTGCTAGAGGGTCATCCTTCTGTCTCCTGGTGGTCGGTGATAAAAGGCTGCGGAGTCTTCCTCAGCTGCGTCTTCTTCACCCTATGTCTTTATTTGGTGACTTCTCCGTGGAAAATTACCAAAATCTTATGATTAACGCAATATGTGCCCTATCAAGTTTCAGCAAGCAAATATCCTGCCTTGCAGACTGTTTATCTGCCCCTGCCCCTTCCCCAGCTTTTCCCTGGTCGTTATCTCTGTGAGTTATCTGCTTGTACCATTTGTCAGCGGGAAAGGTTTCCCTGCTGGGTGTTAATCTGCCCCTGCCCTTTCCCCAGCCTTTCCCTGGTCGTTATTTCTGTTAGTTATCTGTTTGTACCATTTGCTGGGTGGGACTATGTGTGGGCTCCTGCAACCCCTTCCCTGGTATCCTTGTAGCTCCTATCTCATGAAGTAGTACAGAAATAGTCAGCAGACAACTCTTGTAACACACTGGTCTCTTTTTCGTGATGAACAAAATGTAGTCCTTCATCTCAGTGAGGAGGAGCAGCGCGATGGCTCCAGCGCTGGGGCTGGGGGCGCTCCTGGGGGGCCAGGGGGGAGTGGGACCCCCGGCACCGGGACCCTGAACCGCCACTGCCGGCACCGGGACCCCCCTGCTCCCCTTATCCTGCTCGGGGACCCCCCTGAATCCCCCATTTCGGACATCAGGAACCCCTGCTCCCCTATTCCCGGCCTTCCCATGGCTCCCAGCCTCCAGTCTTGGTGTAGACTCTGGGAAACCCCGGAATGCCTTGGTCCCCCATTCCTGCCTTTCCCAGCCCCCAGCCCCACCTTTGTGCAAAACCAGGGACTACCTGAACTCTCCCTTCCTGAACATCCTGGATGTCCCCACCCTGGTACCCTCCCTTTTTGGGAAATCCTGGACTCCCCTTTCCTGGGCTCAAGGACCCCCTGGAACTCCCTTTTACTTCTCCACATCCCTGCCCTCCCCTATTTTCGTGAACCTGAGACCCCCCCCTGCACCCCCATTCCTGAGAACCCAGACACCCTTTTACCCCTTTGCTTGGCACTGAGACCTCCCCTGCACCCCCTTATCTGGCACCAACTCAACCTTTTCCCAGCCCTCCACCTCTCCCAGCCCCCAGCCCCACGGTTTTCCCTGACCTGGGACCCCTGGGCCCCCATTCCTGCCTTTCCCAGCTCCCAGCCCCTCCATCCCTCACACTGAGGAGCCCTGGCACCCCCTTTCCTGGGCACAGGATTCCCTGGACACCCCATCCCAGCTCTCCCAGTCCCTGCACCCCCTTTCCTTGACTCTGAGCCCCTGAACAACCTTCCCAGCTCTGCCAGCTCTTCATGTCCCCCCTTTCCTTGGCCTGTTGACACTCCTGGATCCCCAAACTCTCACTTCCAGTGCCCCAGCTCCCCCAAATCTCTGTGTCCCTCCAGTTCTGCACTCCCTGCAGTGCCTGGAAGTGGCGCTGTCGGAGCCTGGCCCGGGGGTCCCCCAGTCCTTGATTGTGGGGGACGTGGACGGGACCCCCTGGGAGCGCTGGGGCAGCGAGCGGGGCCGGATGGAGCCGCAGAGAGTGGGGATGGGGGCAAGAGCTGAGCTGGGATATTGGGATAGCCAGAGCCGGGATAGTGGGATAGCCTGGGCTGGGATATTGGGATAGCCAGAGCTGGGACACTGGGATAGCCAGAGCTGGGACACTGGGATAGCCAGAACCGGGATATTGGGATAGTCAGGGCTGGGACACTGGGATAGCCAGAGCCAGGATATTGGGATAGCCAGAGCTGGGATATTGGGATAGCCAGAGCCGGGATATTGGGATAGCCAGGGCTGGGACACTGGGATAGCCAGAGCCAGGATATTGGGATAGCCAGCCCCGGCTCAAGGACAGGACCCGGCCCGTGGCTGACAGTGCCCTGGAGACGGGGCTGGTACAAACAGAGCGGGGGGAGTGGGGGGAGCTGGGGGCTGGGCTTGGATCTGTGGGAATGGAGGACTCTGAGGGGCTGGGATGGGATCTCTGGGGATGGAGGGATCTGTGGGGCTGGGATGGGAATCCAGGGAGCCCCACGGGGCTCCCTGGGGCTGGGACACGACTCCATGGGTCCGTTCTCTCCTCATTTCCAGGTCTCCACACGCTGCAGGTGGTTTCCAGCTGTGACCTCCTGCCAACAGAGTGTCCATGGATCCCATGGGTACGGCTATGAGGGCTAGGATTTCATCTCCTTCCAGCTGGGATCCAGGAGCCTTGCAGGGTCCGATGGTGCCACCTGGATCACCCAGAGGTGCTGGGAATCCAAAGGGATCATGGTGGAGGAGATGAAGCATTTCCTGGGACACACCTGTGTGGAAGGGCTCCTAAAATACATCAGATATGGTTGGGAGGCTCTGGAGCACAAAGGTGGGCGTGGGAGGGGAAGGGCAATTCTTATGGGAATGGGGTATTCAGGAATGGGGGACTTGGGAATGCAGGAATTGCCATGGAATTTCCATGGCCAGGTCTCACTGTCATCCCAGTCAGGTGAGAATTCCATGGATGGATCTCCCCCCTAACCCACTGCCATGGGAATTCCATGGGGAAATGATTTGAATTTATGACCAATCCAATGCCAGCAGTGCAATGAGAAGTGATCCCTGCTGGGGTTCCATGGGATATCAATCCCAATCCTTTGCCCAGGCCGGCTCTGCTGTGCCTGTGGAAGCACCAGGGGAGTGCCCTGTCCCTGCCCTGAGCCCAGCACGAGCCTTTCCTTGGCTGTTCTGTGCCCTGCCCGGGGCAGGAGGGCATGGCCGGAGTGGCTTTGGTGGCCCCGGGCACCCGGCCGGGCTGCAGCCACTGCAGGGGCTCCTGGGGAATGTTCCAGAGCAAAGCTTAAAGCAAACAACGGTTCCTGGAGGGGATTTTGCCCCTGGGCCTCTGCTGGGAGCCCAAGGGCAACAGCCCAAAGTGCTGGAGCTCAGTGTCCCTTGGCCAGGCCGTGTTCCCTGGCTGTGCCCTGTCCCTCAGCTGTGCCCTGTCCCTGTCCCCTGTCCCTCAGCTCTGTGGGGCCGGGGGTGGCAGCAGGACCCGGGGCAGCCCTTGGGGAGAACAACCCTGAGCCCCAGCTGAGCCAGTTCCCCCAGTTCCCCCAGGTCACTCCCAGCATGGGCCCTGTGGCTCCCAGTCACCCTCAGGATGGTCCCAGTCACTTCCAGTTACACTCAGTATGTTCCCAGTATCATCCTGGTCACTTCCAGTATGATCCCAGTATGATCCCAGCACAGTCCCAGGTGTTCCCATTCACCCCTACTATAGTTCCAGGCACTGCCAGTACAGTTCCAGTCCTTCCCAGTAGGATTCCAGTATGAACCCAGTCACTCTCAGTACGGTGTCATTTGCCCCCAGTATGGTCCCAGTCACTCCAAGTCCCCCAGTATGATTCCAGTCACTCCCAGATCCCCCCAGTATTATTCCAGTAACTTCTTTTATGGTTCCTCTGTGATCCCAGTCACTCCCAGTCTCTCCCAGTATATCCCAATTGCTCCCAGTAGCTTCCAGCATGTTTCCAGTTGCTCATAGCCACCCCCAGTCACCTCCAGCACAATTCCAGTCCCTTCCTGTATATTCCAGTTGCCCCAGCATGGTCTCAGTTGCCCTCAGTCTGCTCCCAGTCACTTCCAGTGTGATCCCAGAATGACCCCAGTCACCCTCACTCAGTGTGGTTCCAGTTGCTCCCAGTATGATCCCATTTGTCCCAGCATGGTCCCATTTCCTCCCAGTGTGATCCCAGTTTCCTCTAGCACAGACCCAGTCCCTCCCAGTATGAGCCTACTCTGATGCCATGATGATCCCAGTTGCTCCCAGCATGGTTCCAGTTGCTCCCAGTCTGATCCCAGTTGCTCTCAGTGGCCCCTAGCATAGACCCATTGACCCAAGAATGATCCCAGTATGAGTCCACTCTGATCCCAGTCTCCCCCAGTATGGTCCCAGTCAATCCCAGATGCCCCCAGTGTAGACTCAGTCACTGCCAGTTCCTCCAGGCGCCCATGGCTGAGATTGGGTTCCACCTCCAAAATTCCCCGTATCCAAAGACTGCTCCAAAACAAAATCTGCCATTCATGACAAGTCTGGCTGGCCTTGGCCTGGTGAGGCTCTCACCTGCCTCCCAAACACTGGGGCTCTGTGCTTTCATTCCTATGGAAAAGAACTGTCCTTCTTGTCCAGGTGCCCATGGCCAAATTTGTGTTCCACCTCCAACATTGCCTGTTCTGACAAACTGGAGGAGATTGTTGGCTCAAAAGTTTTTAAATGGGGGAGGATGAAGGGGCAGGTCAAGCCTTGCCCTGCCCTGCCTGGAACCCCAATCCCCCCAGAGCCTCTATCCCAGCCCAGCAGTTCCTGGCACAGCACAGGCAATGCTCCACAGCCACCTCTGCAGCCTCCAGCCCAGCTCCTGAGGGACCAAATGAGCCCAAGTCCCACCTGGGGGAAGGGCCCAGGAAGACCAAGGGGTATTGAAGGCTGACCACAAGGCAAGCACACATCTTGCCCCTACCTCCTCTTGGAATTTCCATCTGAACACCTCTGGAATCCAGGAGTTGGTAGCTGGTGTGTGTGCTTCTCTAAATCTTATTTGTCTTCCTCTCTCTCTGTGTCTACTTCTTCTATTTTTGTCCTCTTGCAAATTTTGAGTAACTTGAAATTGAACAGGCTTAGAGTTTGTGTAGTTGAATGGGCCAGGTTAATGCTTTGAGAAGTGGTTTTTGTTGATTGAATGTCCTATTAAACCTTTTGCCAAAGTTTCTCTGATTTTCTAAAGTTACCAGTAAAGGCTGGTTTGTTGTTTTGACCTCGTGAGAATCTCTTGTTGGTATTACTCCAGTACATCCAACTCAGAGTACACAAACAGCTGTAATTCCTTTTAAATGTCTCACTGAGGGAGTTGTTCAGGGGGTGGGAGTCAGGGCTTCTCTGTCCTGTCCCCACAGTCTCTGGGCAGGGATGGCCTCAGCGGGGGCTGCTGACATCCTCACAACTTGGAGGCTGCTGCTGAATTTTCCTGCTCCAGAGGCTTGTTCAGCCTTCAGCTCTTCAGTGCAGGAATTCAGTGTCCTAGGGCTCCTTAACATTCAGAACATCTGAGCAAGCCAAGCCTCTGGGAATCATTTGATTTTAATTTTCAAATCATTTGTGGTTACGTCGATCTCAGTAGTGTATTCAAAGTGAATATATGATATTTAAAAATACAGTGAGAAAAGAATTTTTAGGTCCTGTTTAGTTTTGTTTTCCTGTTAATTTATTGATATGTGCAGTCTCCAATTGACACTGAATCCAAGTGCCTCCTCCTGCAGTTTGAATGGATATGAAAATCAAGACCCTTCATGGCTGACAATCAATCAGACTCTGTCCCTACCCCCAGCCCACCATTTCCCCCATCCAAGCCCTGGCACTCAGAGCAGCCTTGTGCAAATCTAAGCTCCCTCCAGCCCAGGCTGCACCTGCAGCTTTCAGCTCCTTGGCTCCAGCTCCCACCTGCTCTCCTTGGAGAAGGAGCTGCCCGAGACACAGAGGGATGTTCATTTATTGTCAGCCAGCAAAGCCAAGGGAAGGCACAGCTCCATCAAATGCCAAAGTCATTCCTCTGCTGGATATTAAATCCACTTTGCACAGCAGACGGTCTCAGAGCAATGGAAAACACCTTCTGTGCCCAGCACAGATCCCAAGGTCCCCCCAAACCCTCCCTGCCCTGATTCTGCCCAGATTTGCTCTTTGCACACACGAGTCACACGCTGAAATCAGGAGCCCCTTCATGCCCAGAGGGACGAAAAGAGAGAAAGGGGATGAAGAGCTCTCCTATGCAGAGCCAAGGTCCAAGTGCCCCTGGTGTGGGAACCAAAACTCATCAGGTTTGTGTCCTTTGGGCTCAGGGACTGGTGACACTCAGAGGCACAGCAAGGTTTCTTGCCAACAAATAGAAGATGAACATTTGAACAGTTTAATAACCATCACAGCTCTTTCCTTAGCTCTCTGTTATGTCGCAGCAGCTTCTGAGATGTCCACCATCCCCCAGGGATTTCTTACAGGAACAGTTTTAGACAGAGACATAAGCAAAGGTAATTCTGTTATACATATAAACACAATTAGGATGTTTATATGTAATGTGGAGTTGTATATGTAATATGTGAAGTTCAAATATATACCACTAATGTGGTATATATTTGAACTTCAGAAAGATTGGCAACTAGCTGAAGCTCAAAGCATGAAACCAGTCATTTGAGAGGCACTTGAATGACCAGAGAACATCTGGATGAGAAAATCTGGGAGTGCTGGAAAGGACATAGATCCAGTTGCTCTAAATGAAGAGATGTTCTTAGACATGGATATTTAACCAGGAGAGCTGGAAACACCTGAAGGAAGTGGGGTCATTAAATATTAGAGTGAACGTCAGTGGCAAAGGTAGAGGGGAAGATGAGTATTTCTTCTGCCATCAGTAGAAGTATCAAGTAGATCCAGGAAATTCCTGTTCCTGCTGGGAAAAGTTTGGCGTTTCTTAAAAGTATTCAAGTGACCCAGATAATAAAGATTTGCTTGTATAT